GTATAACCTATAAAGCCATATGTAAAAACACAAATAACCCTTATTCACACGGAATCACTCTAAATACTAAGCGTCGTAACATGCTTGTAATATCTATCACGGGCGATGTGCGAAAATTTTAGATTCGGATTAGAAAACGCTTGCGTACAAGTAAGTACCGTATCGACAGTATACGCGACTTTTCCTGAATCTACCGATTACAGTCGAGTACGAGTACGGTACAATCATCACTTGATGCGACACCACTGTCTTTTTTCTGCTTGACGAAATTGGTAACTTCATACTCATACAAAACATAAGCACTTCCAATACTAAAAACAGATGCGAATTGCGATGTTAATAAGATTACATTTTATAAATTAATGTAATAACAATAGTCGCTTTAGAAAAGTACCCGAGATCACATAAAATAAAATAATTGAAAGATGGAATAGAGATGGAAGAATACACTTTTTAACTGAACATAGGCTCAATTGCATTGTAAAAATGGTAATTCTTTCACGTTTAGTGCGAGCAAATTAAAACAAGTATAAATTGGGCACAACTTTGCACAACTCATGTTCAGATAAAGCGCATTTTTTTAAACCGAAATAGCTTTTGTTTGACATCACCAATGGATATATTTCTTGCAGACGTCTCAATCGCCCTTTGCGAGTACCCTCTTCCGATAACCCGTTCTTGATGTATAAGGGAATATACCCGATCACGATAAGAGGTCGAGGAGGAGGGCTATGGTTGGCAGACATTAATTCCTTTCATTGAGACCTTTCATTAGAGTACCATGAAGGATAAAACTAGTTCCACTCCCCCTCCTCCACCTACGCCGTACTTTGATAAGAGGACAGAAAGAAGGGTTGGTAGAAAACGGTTCCTTTCGTTGAGACCTTTAATTAGAATACAATGAGAGATAAAATTAATTTTTAACCCCCCCCCCCTCAGGCCCCGTCGCTCAATGATCTCGAAAAAGAGTTGCACTGGGAAGTTATAGTTTGTACAAACCAATTTTCCCCCCATTTTCTAAGTTTAACTTGGCACCACTAAAGGCATGCGTATGCAAAATCTGAGATCGGTTGTCGTTTGTAAAAGTTATGCACGTTTCACTTTCAAAAACATCTCAGGAAATAATTCTTGGGGTGGCCCCCCTTTTAGACAGCGAAATTTGATGGACGTCTGGCACACTTGCCAGGTATGGGCTACCTACAGCAAAAAATTCCAGGACTCTAGGACCATTCCCCTAGAAGTAGTTCGTAACAGCAGGGGTCCGGACGGACGGACAAAACGCAAACATTAGCACCTATTTTAATTCTTAAAAAATGCGCTAAAAAATCCTGCAAGTTTAGCAATTTAATTAAGTGCAGTTGTTTATTATGTAAGTGTTTCTTTGGGTTTGCGTTTGGGTTGAATACGAGTGGGTTGTATAACGTGGTGTATTTCTGAGAAGAAAGAGTTTTGTGTTTTTTAACTGTGCTATGACGTGTAACTTTATTGCATGGACCTGTCTTTGTAGTGCATGTTGCGCTTGTATTTATTGCGTTTGTTTGTTCAGGAAGTTGTGTTTGTGTGGTTGGTTGAGTTAAAGGTGGAGATATTACTTACGGTATGTTGTGTATGTCATGTTGTGTTGTGAGTCAAAAGTGCTGTTTAGGTTTTTGCGTTTGGGTTGAATACTAATGGGTCGTGATAATGTGGTTTGCTTCAGAGGTGAATCTCTGATTGTAGTATATGTTGTATCATATGTGGTACTTGTTTGTTCGGTAAGTTGTATTTGTGTGTTTGTTTGGGTTAGAGGTGGAGATATTAGGATATTACTGTATGTTGTGTACCGTGTTGTGAGCGGATACTGTTGTTTACACGTGTACGTTGTGGATCATGTATGTATGTAGTATCTTGTGTTATGTTTAGAAATTTACGAACAATATGGCATGTGTTGATAATGACTGCTTTTTGTAAATGTTTGTATGTGTTTTTATCTAAACCTAATAGTTGTAAATTCTCCATTGCGTCTTAAGCTCGATAGCTATGTCGGTGTATTTGCGGTGTTTTTCTGCATGTGTTCTGGTTAAGTTGTTAGTGTTGGGAATGGCAATGTCTATAATACAAATGCATTTTTGTGTTTTACCTATAAGTGTAATGTCTGGTCTATTATTGGGGGTAGTTTTGTCTGTGAGTAGTGTCCTATCCCAATATAATTTATGTGTGTTGTTTTCAAGTATTATCTGTGGCGTGTATTTGTAGTATGGTGTCTTATCTGTTATAAGATTATGTTTAAGAGCTAATTTTTGATGTATGATTCCTGATACCTGATCGTGTCGATGTTTGTATTCTGTTTGTGCAAGTCGTGTGCATGCCGATATTATATGTTAGATTGTTTCTGATGTTTGTGAACATCATAGTCGACAAGAATCATTTGTCACTGTTTTGTCTTTATGTATGTGTTTTTTTATAGTTGTGTGTATTAATCACCTGGTCTTGTATTGCTAACATGAAACCCTCAGTCTCCGGGAAGATATCACATTCAGACAACCAAGTGTGCTTTGCTATAGAATCAACAGTCAACACAATCCTGGTTAACCTCTTGTGGAAATCGTCTATGTAAAGGCTTTTGGTTCCATGTCTGTATGTTATTTGTGATGTATGTAAGTTTGGATGTCGGTGGGAGTATATTTGTTTCGTGTAAGTTAAGTGGCGTGTAAGATTTGTCTGCATATGTTACTGTTTTGTGTAGGATTGAAGTATCTGATTTGTTATAAAAGTATTGTCGTAAATTGTGTATTTGTGTTTGGTGTAATAGTTTTATATCTGTAAGTCCTCTACCTCCTTCCGAACGAGGAAGGTAAAGTCGTATAGTAGAGGAGTGAGGGTGATGTATATGGTGTTTCGTTAATAGTGTACGTGTGTTTCTCTGTATTTGTTCTAAATCTGTATTTGTCCAACGTATAATCCCAAAAGAGTATGTAAGTACTGGTGTGGCATACGTGTTAATAGCTTTGATTGTATTTCTGCCGTGTAATTTTGTTTTATTTATTATTATTCTTATTATTATTATTATATGTGTATCGTCCAAACATTCCACGTGCCTTTTACAAGTGCCCTCTTTCGACACTTCACCAATAGCAGCTGCTGTCTTATTCAGACGATTCATTTTGCGTTTGAGTAATAATAATAATAATAGTTTATTGCCATGATAAAATTTAAAATATAATAAAATCATTTACATTGGCATTGTCATGAATGTAGCATATTAGAAAAAAAGACAAACTAAAAACATAAAAAGGACAAACGTTATACATTGAGGAAAATAAGTTGTTAGTGTGTCCGGTTTAATTCGCATCAAGCTCGCCAACGGAGTAGTAATTTTTTTCAAGTAGATATAATTTTAAGTTTTTTTTAAACAATTGAAGATTCCTTGATTGTTTTATTGCCTTTGGTATAGCATTAAATACTTTGATGCAATTATAATAATAACCTCTATAACGAGTTGTTCGGTGAATGGGTATGCTCAAATTGTCACTATTCCATGTACTCATTGCGCTGTAAATATGGCTATTTTTATTGAAATCATTTATGTTTCGCCACGTATGTATTGAGGCGCAGTATGTAAAAATACTGGGTAGAGTTAAAATGTTCAATTGTTTAAATGAAGTTCGGCAAGAAGCTGCACTTGGAAGACCAACCATAGCCCTAATAATGCGTGTTTGTGCTATAAATACGCGACGTGTATCAGAAGCATTGAACCAAGGCAGTATGCTATAGGCTAGTACACCATGTACAGCTGCGAAGTAATACGCTCGAATTGAGTTAAGGCTTAGGCGCTCTTGGAGATATCTGATAGCATAGCATGCACTATTCAGTCTGCCCACAACATAGTCAACCTGCTTGCACCACTTCAAGTTTTGGTCAATATGGACCCCTAAGAATTTAGTCACTTCAGTTTGTTGAATGGACTTGCCAGACATTTTTACAAGTAAGTATTGGTCATTGAAGTATGTGAAAGCTACAAGAGCAGTTTTTTGTGTGTTAAGGATTAAATTGTTATTATTACACCATTCTACCATGTTTTTTGATATTAATGTTAGACTACGGACAATTCCTGAGCAGTTTCACTAGCAAACAAACATAACGTGTCATCGGCATACTGAATAAGTGTTGAATTTTGTAGTGATGGTTTTAGATCATTGACGAAGACTAAAAAGAGCAATGGGACAAGGATGGACCCTTGTGACACCCCTTTATTTAAACTAGTTGTCTCTGACAGTGTTCCAGAACCATTGCTGTTTTCAATATAGACCTGCTGAGATCTACTACTCAAGTACGACTTCATCAACTTCAAAGCAGTACCTCGAACTCCGTAGGCCTCTAATTCACTAATTAAGATCCGATAATTTCAAATGCTTTGGATAGGTCTTTGGATAGTACTTACTCTCCTCCGACAAAATGCTTTCAAGATATTATGTTTTAAAGTTTTCACATGACCAATGAATATATTTTTTCCAGGCGTCCCAATCGCCCATTCCGAGTACCCTTCTCCGACAATCCGTTCTTGAGGTATAAGGAATTATGACCGATCTCGATAAAGGGTCGAGGAGGAGGACTATGCTTGATAAAAATTAATTCCTTTCATTGAGACCTTTAGAATACCATGAAGGGTAAAATCTGTTCCCCCCAACCTCCTATTTTGATAAGGGATAAGAAAGAAGGGCGGTATGTGGTAGAGAACATTTCCTAAGTTCGATAATTAGAGTACCCAATAACTAAACTACTTACGAATGACAATCATTAAAAGTCACGCGGTGCCGCATCTTTAAATCTCAGCAAAGAGTCTGATATTATACTCTTTGATCTCAGGTAAATGAGTAGGAGTGAACATTAAAATCATGATGATCTAAATTCTAAAATTCATATAAAGATTTTTGAAGTTAGGCAATCATTCCAAAATTAAATTTCCAGATAAATGGTAGGCACTAAAGAAATTTTCATGAAGTAGGTAGGTAGGTACTTACCGTAACTGTGAAATGTATCATATAGCTACTTATTTTTTCAAAATCTAAATCTTTTTTTACGTATAGCTCTGTTTGCCATTCTTTCAATCCCTCCTTCAGCTCTTTAGTGTTTTGCATTTCAAAGTAGCTATTTATATCAGGCTGCATATGTAACACATGTTAGTTAGATAGACGCGGTTCGGTTTATAATACTTACCGTTACATTGTTCACCAAGGTGTACCTCATATCCTTGACAATACCGTCTTTGTCAGTAATGTTAAAAGTACAACCCGTCTTTCCTGTAACGTTTTCCTGAAAATAATACACTATCTATATCAAGTACTTAGTTCAAAATTTACGGGAAAACGGGAATTTTAAAAAAGTTATAGAAAATTTTAACTGATATGTAAACTATTAGAGAGAGCAAGATCCCAATGCCCCCAGACCTTATCATTATTATTATTATTATTATGGTCGGTGTTTCTTGTCAGAACTCAGGTCTAGCCTGGTTCACTAATCGCACGGATTAAAATCGAGTAACGATTAGTGTTTGTCTGTACGTCGTTCGTATATATAATAATAATAATAAAACACATTAAGGCAATATAGGAATAGTATGTGTTGAAACTTAAGCTTTTTTAAGTTTGTTAAAACCAAACTGATGAAATGGTTAACCTTTATTGAAGTAACTTACATTAGAGTTGAAACACGACTGCCTGTTAATGTGGCAAAACTTGCTTTAAAAGACTCTGTTAACAATTGAAGTGACTGATATGCACCTAAATAAATAATACTACGAACTGTGCTACAAAGAAAATGACTTAAAGTTAATGGGTTCTTATTGAATAAGTCCATCAGGATTACTGAATTCTGAAGAACTGAGTAAACTGCAATCCCTACTGAGAACCTTCTCAGAAGGGCCTTTGCTGAAACTATTGAGATTGTCTGACAGAATTCGCGGAAGGTGCTAAGATAACATGACGTTTCATCTACTCCTTACGTGACTAACAAAGTGATTTATCCCTAAATACTTAATACCTAGTTACAAAATATGCATATAAAATTACAACTTAACAGTATGTAATTCATACTTACCAAAATTGATGACCACAACCGCCAACGCTAACAAAAAAAAATCCTGCAAATGTAGCAATTTAAGTATTGGCGTTGTTTATTGTGTAAGAGTTTGTTTGGCTTTGCGTTTGGGTTGACTACGAGCACCGTAAACTAACTACGAGTAGGTTGTGATAACGTGGTGTGTTTCTGCGAAGAAAGAGTTTTTTTCTATTTCGGTGTTACAATGAGAATTTTGTGCAACTGTTTTCGGCAAAAACAGTGTTTCAATGAGTTCCATTGTAACATTGTTTTTGGTAACTTTTCATCTCTAAGTTGGCAGTTCGCCAAGACGTCAACGTCAAATCATCAGATGTGAAATCAAATTACGTAAAATGTATGTGTTTTCCTTGATTTTTGGTACACGAAGAACTTAATACATTCCAAATCAGCAGTTTACACATCCACCATAAATAAATTTATCTACGAGTAAAAAATTACACATTCACGGAATTTCAAGTTTCCAAATGTCAGTGTTGTGTTTATCTACGCTGCCAACTTAAAATTTGTCAACGTAAATGGTGTTGCCAACTTAAGACATATTAATTCTAAAGTTTCCTGTAGTTTTTCATAATTACTTTTTAATTAAATTAAAGCCCCGAAATAGAAAAAAATAGTATGAAAAACACGTGTTACAATGCTTTATTGTAATACTCCTATCTTGTGGACACTCGTGGCTCCGCTTCGCTACGCCACTCGTGCCACAAAATAGTCGTATTACAATAGGTCGCATTGTAACACTTGTCTTTCAATATACTATTTTCTATTTCGGTGTCACAATGATGATTTTGTACAACTGTTTTCGGCCGAAAACAGTTGTACAAAGACAGTGATTATAGTCGGTTTTTTTTGGTAACTCATCTCTTAAGTTGGCAGTTACTAGTTAGTACAAGTAGGTACTTTGTTGGGTACTTCCATATATAATATATTATATATGGGTACTTCCATGTTTGAACTTCAAAATGTCAGTCTTACTACGCTGCCAACCTAAAACTTAACGGCATAAAAAGTGTTCCCAACATTAAACATGTTAGTTCTAATGTTCCCTATAGTTTCTGATAATGATTTTTTTAATTAAATTAAAGCACCGAAATAGAAAAAATAGTATGAAAAACGCGTGTTACAATGCCTTATTGTTCGCGGAGCCACGAGTGTCCGCAAGATAGGAGTATTACAATAGGCCGCATTGTAACACTTGTCTTTCAATACACCCTATTGTGTTTTTTAGCATTGCTAGGACGTGTAACTTTATTAGGTGGACCTGTCATTGTAGTTGCGTTACTTGTATTTATTGCGTTTGTTTGTTCAGGAAGTTGTGTTTGTGTGGTTGGTTGAGTTAAGGGTGGAGAGATTACAGTATGTTGTGTGTCATGTTGTGAGTCTAAAGTGCTGTTTAGGTTTTTGCATTTGGGTTGAATACTAATAGGTCGTGATAATGTGGTTTGCTTCAGAGGTGAATCTCTGATTGTAGTATATGTTGTATCATTTGTTGTACTTGTTTGTTCGGTAAGTTGTATTGTATTATTACCTATTATTATGGTCGGTGTCTCTTGTGAGAACTCAGGTCTAGCCTGGTTAACTACTCGCACGGATTAAAATCAAGTAACGATTAGTGTTTGTGTATGTACGTCGCTCGTCTGCTGAAGTTATGTCGGGTCCATAAAAAAAATGAAATTAAAAAGTTCCCACACGCACATTAAGGAAATCTAGGGATAGTAATTCATACTTACCAGCATAGCTATTGATGGGCACAATAGCCAACGCTATCAGGAAAGAGGAAAACAAAACAAAACAAAAAAAATCATTATAGGTAATAATTCCTGTAATTTTATTAACTAGAGTTTATTGTGTAAGTGTTTCTTTGGCTTTGCGTTTGGGTTGAATACGAGGGGGTTGTGATAACGTGCTGTGTTTCTGAGAAGAAAGAGTATTGTGCCGTCGGCCCAAGCTAGGGGGGGTATGTGTACGTTCAAAGTACATACTAATACTAATAATAATAATAATAATAATAATGTTTATTGTGAAAAACACAAATGGTAGGAGTTCATCCAAAGCTGTTCTTCCACTCCACAAGTAAGTACAGATAAAAATCGTTGAGTCAAAATTATTCAATGGTCTACATATTTTGTCTATCATAAAATAAGTAAGGTCTGGGGGCCTTGTGATCTTGAACTAATATACATAAAACGTAATATAAAACAAATATGTTTCGCCAACGTAGAATTTTTTTGGGATTGGTCTTATGTTGGCTTCTACGCCAAGATGGTGTACGCAATTTCGGTATGCAGTTGGCAGTTACCATAGTAATGAAAATATTGTATGCTTACCTTTATTTTACAAGGGTTGCTTGAAGGATTCACCTGAATGTATGGAGGCTGATCATCAACATTATTTAATTTTATATATACAGATCGATATTCTGAATTGATATCTATTTGAAACTTGTAACGGAAGCCATCGTATTTGTCGTCATAATCTTGTTTTTTTGTTATTACAAGGGCCCATGGTGAAACTGGATTATCTCCGGTACTGCGTTCGATTATTGCTCCAAGCTCGTCACCGTTACTTGATGGGGGCTCCTCGAATATTCCAACAGTCGGAACTGATTCACCTAAAATTGAATAGGAATAAGTCATAGTATAGCTGAAAAATGATATTAGCCAGATATGAGTTGCCATATCTCTACCACTTTCATGGAATTGCACCTATTTTGCACTACCATACGCCACTATTTTTTACTTTGGGCTTGCTCTTGTAATGCAGAGTCGCATCCCTACCTCTTTCTGATTTCCATATATTTTTGCATTCACCGAAAATCCATTCCCATATTACTTACACCAACCCTCTCCCTATTGTCACTAAAATTATACGCCATCTCTTTAGTTATACTAGATTTACTTTCCCACTGTTTGGCCTAAAATTGACACTTTTTACTTCCAAGACGGCGACTGTGCGCCATTTTGAATTTTCGAAGAATGTGATACCGAAATCTTTTTTTCTAATTACAATTTCTCTAAGTCATTTCATCGATCGAAACAAAAGTTCGCCAAACTTCAATTGATCAAAGAGTACCTAAATTCGTAGGGTAGATGTGGTACCTAATACAATTTAAAGAGAAAATGTATAGTGTGTAATTATTAACGAGCGATAAAAAGCGAGTTTATGATTTTGAACTTTCCGTCCGTCCAACCGTCCGTTGGTCTGTGTACATGATAACTCACGAACGGTTTCGAATTGTTCAATTCTGATTTCAGTAATACCACATCAGACAACCGTGGTAATATTTAGTAGGTAGGTACTCTATGGGAATAGGTAGACAATGGTCAAGGGAGTAATTGATTAAGATTGTGGTCATTTGGACTTTCTGTCCATCCGTCTGTTTGTCTCTCGTTGTCTATATTGGTTTGAAACAGTATATTTATCTTATGTTATGACAACTAACAAATTGATAGTTACGAATCAAAGCGTGTTATGTATTAATCTTTGATCAGTACCGAATAAGGATAAAACTCAGATATGGATTTTCAGTTTATTATCGTGATGCTTGTGATACAAGATGCTGTATAAGAATGTTGAATTTTCTAAGGACCCTTCGGTAACTAACAGAAGGTTTACCGCCCCTACGTAACTTGATACATTCTATGTAAAACATATATAGTTTGCCGCCTCGTAACTCGATAGATACATTGCGAGGAACGGTCAGAAACCCCGGTCAGAAACCCATACTTCACAATAAGGTCTTCAAGGAGTTGTCAAGTAGTTTTGTAATTGTATAATTTTCTGCTGTGCCCTGTGCACATTGTATTTTTAAGACAAAATGCAATTTACACATTTAAAAACATCGTGTTACTCTAGAAAAAGTGCATTTTTGTCGATGTTTTGAGACTGCGACTGTCAATTGTTTTTGTTGTTGACACTAATTCTAACCAGCGTAAAAAAACGCACAAAATAAGCACATAGTTATTACTAGAACATACAAATTAGGGAATAATTGCAAAAACAAAGTTGGGCAATCTTCGGACCGTTAGTTCTTTTAATGAAGTTGTTACAATGTTGCTATTGCTAAGAAACTATCTGGGAAATCTTTATTTGAAATGTCGATTGTCTATGAATCCATCAATTGAAACTCGGTGAATTTTCCTTTCGACAAATTGGTATTTCGATAAAAGGAAGGACCGCACATCGAGAACATCAGTAAATACCGAAAACAAATAATAATAACCCTATTTAAAAATATATAATGTGATAGTGTGTCTGTAATATTATAGGTGCCAATGACCTTGATAGTCGAGGTACCTCCCAATAAATATTTAAAACCAGGTGTCAAATTCTTGACAGAATAGCTTCCTATCTGAAACCAAAAATTGCCAACATATGTACGCACTTACAGACGGGAAAAATTTATTCTTTAAAAGTTGCTTAAAATGGTCTAAAACGTCGACATTTGATGAAATTTTGAAATGTTCAAAAAACGGCTATCGCAATAGCTACCTAGCACATGCTAGGAAGCTAAAAATAAGAAAGGTGCATTTTTACGCATGCATTTTGTTTGCTTTTATTAGAGGGACCTACCATCCAAATTTCGTTAAAATTGCTCCATAAATAAGAAAGTTGGATGTTGCACATGCGCAACACTATTTTTAGCTTCCTAGCATGTGCTAGGTAGCTATTGCGATAGCGGTTTTTTGAACATTTCAAAATTTCATCAAATGTCGACGTTTTAGACCATTTTAAGCAACTTTTAAAGAATAAAATTGTTTTCCGTCTGTATGTACGTACGTACGTACGTACGTTTGTTGGCAATTTTCTGAGAAAACGGCTCGACGGATTTTGTTGAAATGTTGTATATATGTTTTAGGCATACCGAACAGAAAAATAATAATAATTTTTGAAAAAAAATTTTGGAGCGCCGGAACGGCATCGAACTTTTTTTTTCAAATAGCAACCTAAAATTTTTATTCTATTATTTGGAAGACCTTATTTTCCTGTGTACAACCTACAAAAAATTGGGCCGGGTTATATTATCAAAAAACGGAGAAAAAAATTGTCAAAGTCAAAAAATTTGTGTTGCATATGTGCAAAACGCAACGATCTTGTTTCTGAAGCAATTTAAACGAAATTTCTATGGTAAGTCCCTTTAATAAAAGCAAACAAAATTCATTCGCAAAAATCGTGTCGCGCATGCGCAGAAATGCAACTTTCTTATTTATGGAACAATTTTAACGAAATTTAGATGGTAGGTCCTTTTAATAAAAGCAAACAAAATGCATGCGCAAAAATCGTGTTGCGCATGCGCAGAAATGCAATTTTCTTATTTATGGAACAATTAAAACGAAATTTGGATGGTAGGTCCTCCTAATAAAAGAAAACAAAATGCATGCGCAAAAAATCGAGTTGCGCCTGTGCAACATCCAACTTTCTTATTTATGGAGCAATTTTAACGAAAATTGGATGGTAGGTCCCTCTAATAAAAGCAAACAAAATGCATGCGCAAAAATCGTGTTGCGCATGCGCAGAAATCGTGTTGCGCATGCGCAGAAATGCAACTTTCTTATTTATGGAACAATTTTAACGAAATTTAGATGGTAGGTCCTTTTAATAAAAGCTAACAAAATGCATGCGCAAAAATAGTGTTGACGTATCCTGAAATCGTGTAATATTGGTTGCATACAATTACACGAATTGACGGTTTTCTTTTCATAGCATGAGCTAGGTACAATGCGAAATTTCATCAAATGTTGACGTTTTAGATCATTTTAAGCAACTTTTAAAGAATAAATTTTTCCCGTCTGTAAGTGCGTACATATGTTGGCAATTTTTGGTTTCAGCTAGGAAGCTATTCTGTCAAGAATTTGACACCTGGTTTGCGCATGCATTTTGTTAGCTTTTATTAAAAGGACCTACCATCCAATTTTCGTTAAAATTGCTCCATAAATAAGAAAGTTGGATGTTGCACATGCGCAACTCGATTTTTTGCGCATGCATATTGTTTTCTTTTATTAGGAGGACCTTCCATCCAAATTTCGTTTTAATTGTTCCATAAATAAGAAAATTGCATTTCTGCGCATGCGCAACACGATTTTTGCGCATGAATTTTGTTTGCTTTTATTAAAGGGACTTACCATAGAAATTTCGTTTAAATTGCTTCAGCAACAAGATCGTTGCGTTTTGCACATATGCAACACAATTTTTTGACTTTGACAATTTTTTTCTCTGTTTTTTGATAATATAACCCGGCCCAATTTTTGGTAGGTTATACACAGGAAAATAAGGTCTTCCAAATAATAAATAAATTTTAGGTTACTATTTGAAAAAAAAAGTTCGATGCCGTTACGGCGCTCCAAAATTTCGGTATGCCTAAAACATATATACAAAATTTCAACAAAATCCGTCGAGCCGTTTTCTCAGAAAATTGCCAACAAACGTACGATGTACGTACATACAGACGGAAAAAAATTTTATTCTTTAAAAGTTGCTTAAAATGGTCTAAAACGTCGACATTTGATGAAATTTTGAAATGTTCAAAAAACGGCTATCGCAATAGCTACCTAGCACATGCTAGGAAGCTAAAAAACATCCCATACCTATAGCATCAATTAAATGTGCTCATGCCCGAACTGCGCAACGCCAACTTTTTTGTTTATGGAGATATTTCTTTGAAATCACAGCGCACATAGCTATGGCCTTTTGGGAAGTACTGATCATTCATGGAAAATTCGCTGAAGTTACTCGCTTTAGGGGAAAACCTTTTTACTTGTTTACTTTTATAGAAGTTCCTAGCATCAAAACTCAGCGAGTTGACGAAAATAATCATGGACCCTATTTCGGTGACAAAGAGATGTGAAAATCGCTCCTTGGTTTCCGTTTCCATTGAAAATAATTCTAGCCATTTTACCGTTCACCTTATTTATGTACTTTGTAATAAAGACGGTTGGTACTCTTTGCTTGTAATATTCTTAGAAGTGTAAGCGGTTTAAAATGCTTGGTCTTGAAAAGAATTGAGTTTGAAGTGAAAAGAGTAGGTATTTTTATTTTTGTAATAGTGCAAACAATTGCCTCGCTTATGCAACATATTGAACAAGATACCAATAATCGCATCCGATTTTCAGTAGGGGAATTTTTTGTCACACCGCTCGTATTCGGGAACTAGCCTTTTAATCCGGCTCATATTCAATAGCAATGTTCATTGAAATTCGTAGCAATCGATTTGCGAAGGTTTGACATCGCTGTCTCTTTTCGAGGAACAGACGGACAAAACCATCACATAAGGAGAATTTTTTCTTTCCCCTAAAAACTTTTAAAAATACGCAAACTTTTGTGGAGCACAACATTGTAGGTTTCGCGTTTTCATAGTGTGGGATAAGTACACATTGAGTAAGATGTGGCCCGGTGGCCGTATAATATCTCCGTAAACGGTAACTTGTTCGCATCCTTTCAGAAATACGTGTAGTTTATAGCTCTTGAAAAAACCTATAAAGCGATTTTTCAAGGCTGATAGCCTTAAATCTAAGCGAATTACGGTAGCCTAATCAATGACCATTTACCCGTATAATTTTGTCACACAGCACCGATTATTATAAAATTTGTATATAATAGGTAGGTTCTAACCCAAGCAATCTTTATTCTGCATAGTTTGTTTTATGAAAGTTCATACTTTTGGACCTACATTTTTGCGACTCAAAGTGTCAACTAGTCAACCAAAAAAACTCACATTTTTGTACGGTTTTTCGCGATTAGCTCAAAAGGTAGGTATTTTATCGAAAAAATTATTTTTAGCAAAATTTTGCTTACAAAAAACAAGGAGGACGAGTTAATGGTTTTCTGAAGATACGAGTAGTATAACATTTGAACGACATCTCTTAAATCAATTTGTTCAGAAATCCGGACAGGCGGACGGACGGGCGAGAATATTACGATACTCAAGCGAAAGCTCTTAATGGATTCAGTTAGTGGAACTTAGCACCCTACTTTCATGGAGTGAAGATATTCTCTTTTTTCAATCACTTTTATGGCAAATCATCATATTACTCGTCTCGTCACTCGTCACACAATGAGATTCGCCATACCTACTACCTATACAACAAACTGAACCAATTTTGATAATGACTTTTTTATGCATGAGATCACCATGCATAAAACGAAACTTTGTTTGATAATTTCAAGAATCCTCGAATAGGTATGATAATGATTCATCACCTCCAATTGAAGCTGTTATCACTAAACACACTCTTTAGTAATATAGGTACCTAGTAATACTGATCCGTGAGTAATAGCTATAACAATAAATCCTACCTTTATAATTAATATAGGCGACTATTATGTGATCCTTGATATTTTCGTTCATGCGTATAATGGCTTTATCGTTTGCCTCCTCCATTTGAACTAAACCCTCTGCTGCCTTATTTGGTAAAAAAGCGGGGGATTCCCAACCTGTGTATTTGAAAATGTGTAAAGTTATGTGTTTTTACCTATTAGGTACTTGAAACTTACCCCGCCCATTATTTATGAGCATAAAAATCAAAATAAATGTTAGAAACATAACTAGAATGTATTAGCACCTACGAATTGAATTTGGTGCTATTGTACAACTAAAACTATAGGTATTTCAGTATATCTACCTGATAGAGATATCTATTAGTGATATCTTATCATGGCAGATTTCGAAGTGGTAGGTGGACACATGCGGAAAATGATAACCCGCTCACAAAATGATGTACTTACCCATTCAACCTTTCTACTTTTGAATATTGTATCTGGGGTTTCCTAAATTGACCCACGGATGGGTGACAATTGCCACGGGGGCTTTTTACTGACTTTCTGCTATACTTTGTTAATGAACTATTTCCTTTGTTTTGTCTAATTTACGGCACAATCCTTATGAAATTCCGCTGATAGGATCAAAACTTCATATGTGAATCTCTTGAGAACGGATGACTAGCAATGGATGATATACTTTGGAGAACGGAGTATCGGAACGGAGTAAGTACTCACAAACGGAAAAGGAAAGCTCTGGACGGGACATATCCGCTCGTAGGGGCAAAACTTCAAATGGGAATATCTTTAGAACGGAGTGTCGGAAGTGAGTACTCACAAAGGGAAAGTGATAAGTCTCCCTGAGACGCATCCAATGGTACCACCGGATCGGATTACTAGCGACGGTTTTGGAGAACGAAGTGTCGTAACAGTATAGTAGGTACTCACAAAGTGAAGATTAAAGTTCTTTGTTCGATCTTTGAATATAAAATATAGGGTTAGATCTCGGGTTAGATGTATGTGTGCAAATTTGAATTCGAATACCTATCTCGAAAAGTATTTGGTGTAATGAAATCGTATGTTTTTGTTGGGTTTGAAGTATTAGCTTTGCGTTACAATTCTTTTCATGCAGATTATATGTCCATACGATGTACGATAAGAGAAGTTTTTCAAAACAAGCACGAGTTTTCTCAAAATTAGGGAAAGAAGTTTGAATTTCGTGACGCGTCCAGAAACGTTTTCTAATCGAGTGACGTCACAAGCGCGCTTCAAGCGCCACCCTTAAATGGTCTAATAAGACCACAGACAACATATACTACAGACGGTCAATGCAATGAACGCAATAAACGCAACAGTGTAATAGAGTACGACTAGTGTGTTGTCTACCTTGAAGCAGTCGAAATAAATTGTTGTAAAATGTGACGTAACTGTAAACGTGTGTAAACGTGTGTAATAGTTTGTAAAAATAATAAAAATACTCAAAATACTTCCCTTATTTCCGGCTTTTTACGTAGATAAGATAGATAAGATAAGCGCTCACATCATAAAACATCATAAATAGGATACATTTTAATTCTTCATTTTTCTTTTTTTCTCATTTAAAAAATTGAAAAAAGGGATGGTTATTTTTAAGGGCGGAAACTAAATTTGGCCTCCACATATAAAATTATAGGTTGGACAAGGAAAGATTTTATTAGAATAATAAACATAATTTGTTTTTTTTAATAAAATATTATACCTTATGGTGACTTAAAACGCACTTAGGAATTGCAATAGGATTTTTCATTTCTGACATTCTTTCTTTTATTAGACTTCTTAGAAAGAAGATTTAGGTTTTTTGTGAGAAAAAAGTACGAATCCAGCATAATACTATAGATTTTTTTTTGACTGCTAAATCAAAATGCATGTTTGATTTCCTAACTCCATGGAATTATAGGCGCAAGCCTCTCCTGGTCGCACGGCAATTTAGATGTATCTGTGATAATACCATCACAACATTTTTTGATTAGGGGAGAGAGCACTTAACGAACTTTATTTTATGTGTGGCGGTCAACTAGTCCAGTACAGCGACGTAAGTAAATAATGTATCTGTGATAATACCATCACAACATTTTTTGATTAGGGGAGAGAGCACTTAACGAACTTTATTTTATGTCAATGTGTAGGGTCAACATAGTCCAGTCACAGCGACGTCGGAAGTGAATAACGGTTGGGGGGGGGGGCAAAAATCAGCGACCATTGAGTCTGAAAGGTCCTTCCCATGCAAAATTGTGTACGAATTAATGCAAAGCAGTGGGTTTTTTAAGTGACCCTGAAACCTGTTTATTTAATCAATCAAATAATGTATTTTTGAAAGAAGTTTTGAAAAAAATTTAAAAAAGTGTCGGAGGATGTCTAGTTACATGCAACTGAGCAACTCAGAGATACTTGACTCGATTGAGAAAACCGTAGCCATAGATCATTAATATTTTATTTAAAAAATAATGAAGAACTAGAACATACAAAAGTTACAAAAATTTTGTCCCTGTTTATTGCACTATTGAGCATCGTAAAGAAAAGCAAGTATAAAAAATTAAATATATCCAAAAATTTTCCGCCTTTCCGTGGTTTCCTGGCAAATTCTTTCAATATATCCTCTACTTCTACACTTTTTGTAATTTCTGCATGCACATGCAGTAGAAGATGTGTTAGTCGCTTTTTAGTGATTTATCTACTCTTTCTTAGAGGGGGCGCGGCCCCACCTTGTGTACAAACTGAGGGGGCCACTCGCCCCCTCTGACCCGTACTTCCGACGTCGCTGTCCAGTCAAATTAGCTCCAAAAGTATTCTAAACTGGATGTTGGCATTTCACACAACGAAACCAAGTGTATTTTATGTAGTTCCCTGCCCGGAAGCTCCCGGAACATATTGCTATACAAAAAAAAAACCAAGAAAAAATGGAAAAATGCAGTTTTTTTCGCATTTGACTTCCAATTATCTCGTCAACTATTGCTCGAGCTCATAGAAATGAATTTGTTTAGAATCGAATTTTCAGTTGGTACAGAACCGTTCATTTTTAAATGTTATTGTTTTTTCTGGAAAAATACAAAAAAAGTAATCCCAAAAATTACCATTTGTTTTTGTTGATACGCCCTTCTCAATGGTTTGTCCTTCAAACTGGATGACTCCCGAAGCGTTTTCAATATTTTTATGGATGGTGGAACCGTAAAACAACCTATTCCAACAATTGTCTGTTGTCCCGATGAGTTTTGCAAATCGACGGACTGTGGAATTAGTTTAGTGGCCTGTTTAGTGGAAACCCCAGAAACAGAACAAGAAAGTAACTTTATAATAGGCCCTTGGCACGCTGTTTAATAAAAAATCATACCAACTGTATCTGATAGAAAAATCGATTCTAAGCAAATCGTTCTCTTCATTTTTTCCGTAAGAGGAATAGTTAACGAGAATACGAGATACCTAATTAAGTCAAATGCGAAAAAACGATATTTTCCCATATTTTCTTCGTTTTCTTGTGTATAGCAATATGTTCCCGGAGTTTCCGGTTAGCTAGACTGTCATTTACGGATTCAGGGGATTTTTTTGCATACAATACACATGGTTTGGAGTGAAGTGACAACACACTAAACCGGCAGACAGTTATAGATACAAAACTATAAAACCATCTCGAGGATCGCTATTAACTTTGCTTTGTGACAATTTTCGTAGGTAATTGCACAAGCGCATCAAAATGCTCTTTTAACAAAGTATGAAGTGTAACTTCAGCGCATTTTCCATAAATTGATCAATACTTCTCCAAAGGCCATACCTATGTGCGCTACGTTTTTCATTACTAGACGCATATATGGTTAAAATTTAAAAAAACATATTTTCATAAATAAGGAAGTTGACACTTACTGCGCAGTTGATATTGCGCGTCCTGCGCATGCGCTTATTAATCTCATATTTACAATTTGCAATACGTTTGCTTTTACTATAAAGGCCGATTCTCACTTTCGTGCAAAGAACCGGCCCGGCAACGGCACGGCACATACTCGGCACGGGCAAAGTTTTTTGAGTTCAATTCACACTGCGACACGCTTGCCGCAGGTAAGCAGTTTCTACGTGAGTTTCAACTGTGGAAATGTTCGAAACTTCCACGTTAATTAAAATAGGTCTAATATTAGATGATTAAGAACAAGAAAGTACATATTGCAGAAAAATAAAAATACGTTTTTGTGTATATAAAATGCATAAGAAGATCTTTTATGACCGAAATCATTCTCTCGGACACATTCAATCAGCATCTCATCTTGTTCCGCTGAAAAAGTGTTCCTTTGCTGACCCTTCAACCTTTCTTGTACTATGAAGACTGAACTAAAGTCGGTGACCTGCACAGATTGTATTCACACTTGTCGGAACGTGCACGGTACATGCCCGGCAAATATTGTTTCAGAAGAACACCGCGTGCAAAGGCCGTAGCTTGCCGAGTCGTTGCTCGCATAGTGTGAATTACACCCCAAAAAATTCATAAGATTCAATAATATAGATATTTTGCTGAGTCGATGCCTTGCCTGTGCCGAGTACGTGCCTTGCACGAAAGTGAGAATCGACCTTAAGTATCTTTGGTTAAAATTTCAAAGAAATATCTCCATAAATAAGAAAGTTTGCATTGCGCATTCTGCGCATGCGCACATCTGATTTTTACTGTATGCGATATATTTGCCTTTACTACAAGTATCTGTGATTAAAATTTCAACAAAATATATTAATAAATAAAAAAGTCAACATTGCGCAGCCTGCGCATGCGCAGTTCAATCGTCAAGATTTTCTTTGACTCAGGTGCCAGAGCGATACGCTACCGAATGCAAAAAGAACGAACTAAATATCTTGAAAACTGTAGAAGTACTCGGACAGACGGACAGACGGACGGACAGAGAAAGTGGCTGCAATAGCGCACCCAACTTCGTTGGAAAATGCGCTAAAAATTATCAGGTTTATTTTGATGCACGAGTGTAATTCGGGGGAATATTTCCCGAATAAACATTACAAACTCACCTTACCTACTTATAAAATTGTTAAAGTGTATTCCCATGAAATGTGCAATTATCGCAGGGCTCTTTCGTTTTCTACAATGCAATTACCGCTGTAATTGACCTATAATTGCACACCTTAAATGGGATTTATTACATATGATACAAATAATCATTCGAAAATTTGCTTACGTTTAGGTTTTCTTTATCCAAGTTAAATGAAGTTAAATTGCTGATTGCAAGATTTATTCCACAAAGGGAGAGACAAGTAGGCAAGTAGAGTACGTAACGTAGGTATATAAACAAACACGGAGATTACACTTTTTTTCGAGAATTCGAAAAGTGGTGCAAGTTAGATATATCGTTTCTTATGCACCCAAAGACAACGAGTAATACGTAATTGCGAATATAAAGTGATATTTGCTTTGTATGTGATGTGTACCTGCAAAGATTATCAGCACTTCGCCCCAGATGTAAATTATGGGGATTTCTTGTGGGACAGCTTTCTAACAATAAAGTATCAATACTTCTTTCCCTAGACAATTTGCAAAACCATTCCAATAAAAGAAATCTGTAGAAGAACCAACACATTGTTGTATGCGCTAATAGATGGAGCAAAATAGAGGGATAGCAGGCTTTTAAATAAGGGGACATTTGAAACAAAACTTAGCGTGCTTTTTCCCCTTAAGATTGACCGTCTGTAGTATATGTTGTCTGTGATAAGACGTACCGCGCCTGGAACGTTAATATCCCGAATAGTGGTTTTGTTTATATGTTTTGTGAGCACCCAGTGATGTTTCAGGCCCTTGTACACTAGTTGGCCGAACGAACGTCCAAATAAGTGCTACCGGGTAAGTGAAAACGGTTTTGTTATCTTAATGTAATGGCGGATACATTTGAACCGATACCCTGTTGCGCTCGGCTGATGGTAGAGCATGAATGATATAAGGGCGCCAGGGCTATGCGCGGAAAGTACTCTCAGGGTCGTGACGTTAACTAGCCCGTTCTGGTAATTTGACCATTAAATTATGAACAACGTGAGGGTAAGTTTAATTTTATTCAAAATTATCAAACGTTAATATCTCAATATTTGATTTTAGTTGTCCGACTGATCGTGTGAGATGGAGCTAGGTGTGACCCGTCGCGGAGATCTCTTACAGAATTCGGATACCTTATTGGTAAGTACAATTTTATGGTGTTATGTTTGTATATGATTGTAAGTGTACGATACAGTCTGACCTTTTTCTAGACGGTTTACTTCGGAAGACGGTTGAAGACCTTGACGACTGGAGCTGCTGCTGGAGTTGGAATAGGATAGATTTATTTTGACTGCTACGTTAGATGTTGATTTCCTTACGAGTGCCAATTCTAGGGCAACTCTAATATTTCGATAGAAATTATATAATTACTTAAAAGAACCCTGAAATATTAAAAATTAGCTCCAAGCAGCTACAGATTAATTTAATGCATTACCAGGATGAACTGGGTTCCAAATATATAGAATAAGATTAAATAATTAATTTAGGGTAGCCATGAGGCGCCTATCATATAGATGTATTATTACAAATTGTTTAATTAACTTTATTATTTTGCTCTTCTTTAGAATTATTTAATTAACAATCTTAAGATGCATTCAGCTGAATAACTTGACCATTCAAAAATCTAATGGCAAAATGGCTGGTCACCTTTTGCTATCCGAGATGACCCTCATCATCCTGTTACCTTGACTTCGTTTATCCTTTTGGTAATAAATTTGAATTAAAGCGGCAAAAATATTTCAATTTTACATAAAATTAAGTGAAACCGTTACATAAGTTGGGCCAATGCCAACAGTGTTTGCACGATGGGCCAACTAGTTGGGCCAATGAGTTGGTCACCAGGTGACCAACGTTCAGCAGTCAGATTTCATTGGCCATTTTCTAGTGTAGATTTCATTTTGAGTGTCAAGTGACAAGGTTAATAGAGAAAATAGGTTGCCTCGTAACTTTCAGCCAATAGACGTTCAGTATTAAAATACGCGAATGACGTCACCCAGAATCCCATTTTGTCCACATCATCAAAATTAATTATTAACGCAACAACAACAGAGCAAGTTCAAAAAATGCAAAATGGACCGAAATGGTACTTTACATGGATGTGCTCAAAAGTTCCTGCATTGCATAGAAAGAAACATGCTGGTGAAAACGCACTTTATTCAAAATAGCTTACATTTCATCTTCATAGTCTTCGGCCGGGAAATGCAGACTGCGCACTTTCTATTGCATACGGGGTTCAGGTTCCCCTTTCTATTGCAAACTGAATCTCCAGTAGAAAAGTATTTTATTCAAAATGTGGACACAAGAAAATACGAAAATTTTAATTGATTTATATTAACAGCAAGTGTCTATATCGCGTGTACCGTACAAGGGGGCTTCGATAACAAAGAATTTGATTGTAAGTGGACTGTAATTATGAATTACTTCCAAGGCCTTGTTTATGCTGGGAATGAAAGAATATAGACACATAAATAAACGTGTTTATTATCAAAAATACAAAGGAAATGAATTTCTATTGAACATGGTTGACGTAGGCACGACGGCTACTAGAATATGGTAAAGTTACGAAGGGATAATGTAAACAAAGGAACTTACGTGTTGTTTCGAAGTCCATTAACAACGAAGGCGATGTTGCAATGGCGAAGATTGCTCTATTCTACGAAGAAGTTGTCGATTGTGTCGATTTTGTTACAACGAAATCTTCTAATTGATGTGCGGTGCTTTGACGTTCTGCTTGTTAAAATAACGATGTTGCGAACTGCACGGCGACATCTTGACCCGTTGTGGATCGATCGAGATCTATATGCGAACGACGAAGGCTAATCGGCCATTGATTAACGGCGACTTCTCAACGTAGTTGAGTTGATGGCGTCTAAGCGAAGAATGGGACGAATTCTGCGCGACGAGTACACATATTGCGCTTCTGCGGCTCATGCGCGCACACGTAACAAATAGGAATAGGCAAGGCAAAACGGTTATGTACAGGGTATTTTCATTAAAGGAAAAACGAAAGGATATTTTATTCTAGTTTGGGGACGCAACATCGCGTTATGGACAAAAATTATAAAAATAAAATGAAACGACGAAGGGAACAATCAAAAGCATAATTACTTCCCTCAAATAGTCGTCCGCTAAAGTAGAATAAATTGCTCTACAAATTACTGGTATAAATTGGGCTATAGTGGATTCATGGACTCTCGTTGAATACATTAAATTTCTGAAAGTTTCCCCACTAGCTAAATAACGCAAAGTTGTCATTAATTTATGCTTTGAAGGAATGCAGTCTCCCATTACAATGTCCTGCTTTGCGATATGATATGCCGGGTGAATATTCCCAAACCGAACATAGGGAATTAACATGGGAAAAAGGTTTTTTGCAGATCGTTGCTCCCCATATTAACTTTTAGAGGGTTTAATTACAATGACACCAACCAAAAGAAGATTTTTTTCCTCGTCTAATGATATACGAATTAGTTCATTTTCAGGTGTATTTCTCACTATTTTATCAAAAATTCGGCAATAAATCCACTTACCAAAATCATGTTAAGCCATGACTAGGAAGACAAAAAGCAGATTCAAACGTCGAAATCAATATCAGTTTATGACAACTGAGGAAAAAGTAGGTATTTATTATAATAAACAACGTTTACAGCGGAAATATTTACTCTAGTACGCGATATTTGTCTTCCGTGCATTTTAATGAGCGTCCCATTTGTCTGTGTGAAAACCTATTTCAATTCCTTAGGAAATTTCCATGGCTTAACATGATTTTGCTAATTGGATGTATCATGTATTGCCGAATTTTTTATAAAATAATGAGAAATACACTTGAAAATAAACTAATTCGTACCATTGAATAAAAACACTTTTATTCAATGTTCGTACCTATATCTAATATTAGATCAGAAAAAAAATCTTCTTTTGATTGGTATGATTATAAACCCTCTAAGTTAACATGAGGAGCAACAATCTGCAAAAAAACGTTTTTCTCTTGTTAATTGCCTATGTTCGGTTTTAAAATACTTATTCACCCGGTATGGCTCGCCTTTCGCAAGTAGCTTTAAAAATGAATTATTTGTCATTCGTAAATAATTCCTGAATGCTGCAGGATGTTCAAATAATAATTAATTACCTATCTATTTATTAGTCAAAATTCTTTTATCTTCCCTTCTTTCAACCCACACTTTTGGGTTGCGATTTTTCTTTTTCTTGTTTAAATTTCACTCTTCCAGTAATTGCTATTATTTTTAAAAAGTAGGTAAATATAAGTGAAGTTCTTTTGCATGTCCTAGGGATGTATTTGCTATTACACTTTACAGAACCACCAACAGTATCTATCATGCTATCTTTCTTTTCAACTTTTTAAAATACCTCACAAATTTAAACATATATCATTGTCATTTTTTCTTCAATTTTTACATGCATTTTTATGTGTAAAATGCAAATGTAATGTAAAAATTTAAGATTTAACCGTGCATTGGGGGTTACATACATCCGCTGGCACCAATATCTGTATAAGAAAAATTCGCGTAACGAGAGCCACTATGCTGTTACTCTCTTAAATTTCCGTTTGCCATGATGTAGCCAGTACAAAGAAAAGCAACAAACAAAGAATTTGAATACATCCAAGTTAATTTTCTTTACTACGTATTAAAAATGTTACCTTTTTCACGTTAGTAGTATTCCACAAACCAAAATCATGAGTTCTGATAGAGCTGTACTGAACATTAAGTTTAATCAAGATCAAGGTTAGATTAATGTGTGCATTAAAAATGTTTAAAACATGAACTCTCTTAGGTTGTTTTTCCTGCTCAATGGAAAGTGGGTTACGAATATACAATGTAGATCCTTTAGCAGAGAAAGCTCACTACGGCATGTATTCCAAGTACATTTCGTGAAGCGATAAGTCATTAATGTTTTGCAGATTTCGATCTAATGGGTAGTGTTGCACATTGTGAAATGTTGTTACGAACAAATATTATAGCAATAGTGGCTGGAGGTTCACGCCCAAAGTTCGCTGATAATACCTTGTTATTATTTGACGATGCAAGCAAGAAATTTGTTTTAGAATTAACATTTTCGTCATCTATTAAAGCAACCAGGCTGAGACGAGATAAGTAAGTCGGTTGGTTTATGTGTCGTCACTTTCAGAATTACTCGTGCTCACATTAATTACCTGCAATACCCTTTAATTTTCCTTTAACTTTGTTTAGAATATTTATAAAGCCTTAGGTGTGGCGCACATTGAGATGCAACACAACCCACGGCCACACACGCTTTGTGTACTGTTGAAATTGCTAAAAAATCTGTGTCTCAGACTGTGTGGCTTCAGAAATGAGTCACATGGTATCGTACATTGTGCCATAATATGTGTTTGCTCCTTAATTCCTACAGAATACAACGTGTGTGTGGCCGTGGGTTGTGTTGCGTGTGTGGCGTCCATCTCAATGTGCACCTGGCCTTAGGGCTGGTAGTTGGCCTTGTTACAGTATGAGCCTTGGACTCTATTTTTATACAGGATGTACAAAAAAGGTTTTCGCATGTTATTTATTTATCAAATTTTAAAACTTCATGTTTAGTTTCTCTTTGCTACCGTAGCTATTTACATGATTATTTGTTACACTACACCCTGCATATTTATTATATTAATCTATTTTCAGATTGGTTGTCGCTCTCTTAACACATATACACGTTTTTTCATTTCCGTCACCAATTCAGAGGTTATTCTCCTTAGAAACTAGAGACAATCCACTTGGTTTATGTGAAATGAGCCCCTTAGCATCAGCAGAGAAACAAATTTTGATATTCCCAGGACATAAAGTGGGAAGTGTTCAAATTGTGGTAAGTGTGGTATAAGAACTACCTTTTGGGGAATATATGTAAGTGCTGAGTTTGAGACAGATGTAAACCTTTAGTTACCTCATTGCATTCATTTAGGGTGATCTTTTTGAGTTTCTAATTTCGTTAAATTAAAATCGATGAACAGCCCTTTTTTTTAAACGGTTGTTTTATTTATTAAAAAAACTTGTGAATTAAGGTTAGATTTTATCCACTAGAGCAAATTTTACAAAAAAAACTTCACGTAAAGGTGTTTAATTGGTATGCACTATGTACGATCACAGACAAAAATAATGATAATCGGATACTTACTGCCACTTAGACAACCAACCATACACTATCTTAAATGGCGACGGTGAAGTGTAACTTTTTCGGCGTGGAGTCATGTGGGATGGGCCACACAGCGTCGCGCATTGTCATCTTTGCTTCGCCATTTCTTCATCACTGGCTTGATATAAACGCTACAGCCCACAGCAGGTATAAAATGTGTAAGTATAACTACAATTGGCAAAATCGGAGTTTATGCATTATACTCTGGACAAATTTAAGAGACATTAATACATTACACATTGGTATCTTCAATTTAGTTTTTTTCTCGATATTGTTGCTAGTATTTTTGAACGGTTTTTTATTATTGTGTACTATCATTGTTTAAATTATTTAAACAATGGTACTATACACAATAAACAGGATGTTGTGTTTTTAAAAACATGAATAAGTCCTTTTTTTGGCATTTCATTTCAAATATCTCGTGAGCTATTGGTCTAGGGGAAAAAATGAATAGCGATGAACGAGGCGATGAATTTGTTTTGAATCCCATTTTCTACAAGAGAGCAGTTCACCCAGTGTGAAAGACAAAGCATCGTTTTTTTAATTTTTTTAACTTAATTATGCAAAGACTGTAACATCTACGTTGATCGAGTTGAACATATTGTTTTGTTATAAAAAAAGAATTTACTAAATACGCATTTTCAAAAAGATCGGCTGAACTTTACTTAGTGTTAAAAACTTGTTCATTTTTGAGATTACGTTTTTTTGAATATTTTTTCATAAAAAAACAATAACATTGCAAAATAATAGTACCAGACCAACTGTATGTTGTAGAAAATTAGATTGTGTTAGACTAAAATATTTTTTCATACAGGTCATATTTCAATGATATATAAGTTGGAGCAAAAATTGCAATCACAATTTATTAGTAAATGATTCATTATTTTAATTAGGAGATCAACCCAGACTATAAGTAGGTAATTGTAAGATATGTGCCAAATTTTATGCATTGCCGAGGACAAAAGCTAGATTCAGGTAGGTAAATCTTTTTTTAATTTCGTGTATTGGTTTTTCCAATTGTTGCAATACTACTACTCCCTTTATATCAACACAGTGATGAAGGAATTGCTAAGCAGGAACAATGCGCGTTAATGTTAATAAGTATCTTGTTAATGACTTATTAGATAAGCAGTGTGTTCATGTTATGGTTCTTTGATTTTAAATGTCCATGGATTATAAATTACCACTTCATCAGTTACTTCTTATGAATTATTCGCCGAAGTTGTTACCTGTATTTTTTCAATTGAGAGTAAAAAGAAAAGGATTCATTGACAATTACTACAATTTTTAACGTTATAGATAGATAGATAGATAGATAGAACATACCTACTGTTTTTTATAGTTAAATACCTACGCAATAAAAAACACAAGTACTATTTAAATCTTTAAGTTTTATTTTTTTTTACTGCATTTACGTGGGCTTTTTTGTCAGTATGCAACAAAACGGCTTTGTAGCTCAGTGGTAGAGCTTTGGGCTACAAAACCGGAGGTCGGGTTTCGAACCTGAGTTGAGGTGAATTTTTTTTCATCTGTAGCAGAGATGTTTCCTTAGATCTGTTTCGACCAGTCTGCCGGCTACTCCGAATTAGGTTTTCCTGCAGTTTCCTAATTCATAAGGTAAATACCGGAGTAGTATAGTAGTGCAGCGGAGAGCCGCGAAATCGTTCAAAAAATTTTTTCGGAGTAGAAAGAATTGGGACCCATACCATTTTGTTCAGAAATGTTTGAACCTTCAGAATCTCGCTTTACGACATTTTCCCGTGGTCCTGACAAAAGTTATAGGCCGCTAAAGTTGAAATTTACTCATTTTCGCGCGAGCGACTAGACCACCGAAAGTATTTATTTTCTCAGCAACTAAGCGATATACATCAATAATTCCTTTTGTAAAATGAAAGTACATTTATAGCAGAATCTAAAGCATTCAATTTACCTACCTTGTTATGCACAGTTTTTAGAAAAATGACCGTCAACTTCCAAAATTCGTGTAGCAGATGAAAAGTGCGCACTTTGAACTCTCATAACTTTTTATTTCACGATATCGATTTCCAATATTTATAGCTCATTCGATGCTCCAAAGCATTGTGATTATTTTATTTTCTATAACATTACCGTGAATTTTTCATAATAAAAAAGTTACGGTCATTTAAGTAAAAACCTACCGACCTCGCCGAGTCGGTAATCGCGAGTGAGACGGAGAGGGAAGGATAGTCAGCAGCGTTCGCTAAACAAGGAGCGATGCGTAAGAGATTTTACTTTACTAAGAAATTTCTCTCCGAATACCAAAACTAGCTATTTAGGCCGTTTAGTTTACAAATGCATTCCGCCGAGTTGCATTGTAAAATCTCAAACAATTCATTAACTCCATGTATCTCAGTTCTTTGGTGAAATATATAGGTACAAATAGGTACCTTTCCCTGTAAATTTTGGGGGTTACGCCACATTAGGTATCTCTTGTGCTGTGCTGTATATTGCAAGATCAGCAGTAACAACGGTATGATTTTGTCCCAAAGATTCAGCTTTTCCCGCTTGTTTCACATTATTATTTCCTTTTCTCGCTACTTTTTCACGCCTTCTTGTTTTTTGATTTCACTAGACGATGGTTAGGATGGTATTGTAGCTCGCTGGTGGAGAATTCAAAAACGGCATAGGTATATTATATTGAATGGTAGATACCGGAACTTACTTAGGAGGATTATCAGCAGGTACTTAGGCTGTTAAAGTTAGTTATCTGGTCGTTATCTAGTGATAGGTAAACCTGGTGGTCAATCATTTCTAGACATGCCGTCTGCATGATCTCGAATTTAAACTTAACTTAAATAATTTAAATATGTAGTCATCTCAATAGTTTCAAAACTTTTATGAGTTTATTTTTTCCCCCCGGTTCTTTTGAAATGTGTTAAATTCAACTTTCAACTTTTAATGTAATAATTCAACCCTCCGGTTGGTTGTCTTAACAAGGCTTGATAATAATTCGTTTTGAAACTTAGGACAACCTTGCCGGTTTAACCACCCTTCAGGTTTTTTCACTTGGCTTCGGCCACTTAATAATTAAAAAACATGTTCGTCTTATTCGTCTTCAACGTTTGTAACTTACCGTTTTCCTGTTAAATTTCACATCGCCTGATGATGGCAGTACGCCGAAACTATAGTCGCTTTTATTTTTAAAAAACTTCAACGAATAAAAACTATATGGGGAAGGTTTAGAGAGTTTTGATCACACAATATATTTCAACCCCCATTTCGAGGAACGATGGATCCAACCAAAAAAAAAAAATCCATGTATTCGTTTAGGAGCCACCCTCAAAAAAGTGGTAAAGTTTCTTTTTTTCTCAGCAACAGTTACAGAGACTGGTGGTAAGTCTTTGAATAGGTTTTGCTGTATGCCCTTTCCGGTTTTGCAAATAATTTTTCAAAATTCCTACCGCAAAAGGGCACACCCCTCAATACGGGTGCGAAAAAATGTTGATTTCGACGAAATTTGGTATCTGGTGGTTTTTGAATTTGAAATTAGTTTTTGAAAATTCGAAAAAAATAATTCCACTGCAATTCTCGGCCGAACAACGAAAATTGACAAAATTCCACGAAGTTTGTTGTGTAGGTACATACTTACGGAACAAAATTATTGAACAATTTTTCTTAAGGTCATTTTTCAAACAAAAGTTACACTCATTTGCAAATTGGTCTTTCGGGTCAGAAAATGTTCTCCGACAGTGGCATAACAAGTACAGTAAACGTCAATATTACATGTTCTGCTAAGGGTGTCTACCTACATTTCACAAAAATTTGTCAAATAAAAAATGATAATTTTATCACAGCGAGCAACTTCGACATCAATGAGGAAACAGTCACAGAATAAGAATAAGTAGGCCATATTCTGTGGAAACAGACGAAAAAAATTCAACGCACAGTCTTTTTTCAAAAGCGAGATACATCGACAGAAGAAATCCAAATTCCTCGTTTACCTATCACTAGATAACGACCAGATAACTGACTTTAACAGCCTAAGTACCTGCTGATAATCCTCCTAAAGGCCGATTCTCACTTTCGTGCAAAGAACCGGCCCGGCAACGGCACGGCACATACTCGGCACGGGCAAAGTTTTTTGAGTTCAATTCACACTGCGACACGCTTGCCGCAGGTAAGCAGTTTCTACGTGAGTTTCAACTGTGGAAATGTTCGAAACTTCCACGTTAATTAAAATAGGTCTAATATTAGATGATTAAGAACAAGAAAGTACATATTGCAGAAAAATAAAAATACGTTTTTGTGTATATAAAATGCATAAGAAGTATCTTTTATGACCGAAATCATTCTCTCGGACACATTCAATCAGCATCTCATCTTGTTCCGCTGAAAAAGTGTTCCTTTGCTGACCCTTCAACCTTTCTTGTACTATGAAAACTGAACTAAAGTCGGTGACCTGCACAGATTGTATTCACACTTGTCGGAACGTGCACGGTACATGCCCGGCAAATATTGTTTCAGAAGAACACCGTGTGCAAAGGCCGTAGCTTGCCGAGTCGTTGCTCGCATAGTGTGAATTACACCCCAAAAAATTCATAAGATTCAATAATATAGATATTTTGCTGAGTCGATGCCTTGCCTGTGCCGAGTACGTGCCTTGCACGAAAGTGAGAATCGACCTTAAGTAAGTTCCGGTATCTACCATTCAATATAATATACCTATGCCGTTTTTGAATTCTCCACCAGCGAGCTACAATACCATCCTAACCA